GGAACCGTGTCTTAACGATCAGTCCACTGCGGGACAGAAGCGGGGAGCGAAGATTGGATGACCATTACCACTATCTGTTTTATGGTCTAAATTAGGGTTGTATTGTGTACATATGCATTATTACTGAGAATCAATTTCAAACCTTCAACAAGAATCTATTAGCCACGTTTTGGTGCGACATTAACAAAAAAATCAAACAGATTATACGTGATAAAGGGATTTATGTTCATATATGCATATACAGGCTTCAAATGTCAATTCAATAACCAACATATAAGCCCTTGCTAAATGGGGAAATATGTAGCGCAAATTAGGAGAGCAAAAAGATACATTAAAGGTTACGATAGGTTCCGCTTACGGTTTAACGTTACGGTAAGATTCGAACTTGTTGACTTCTCATTTCAGAGCGTTTGTCATCAGGATTAAACTCTTTGGATGTGGAAGCTCCTTAAATTGCCTGGTTGTAAAGTGATAAAAATTACTTCGCTTAATTACTTTTTACCCTCACTGGACTGATCGTAAAGACACGGTTTCCAATAGAACACCGAAGTCAAGGATCACTGGCTCTGGTCAGTAAGCAGGTGGGTGACCACTTTGATCAGTCTACGTAGGGACCGAGAGTGGGCGGTATCGATTTTCGTCGAACTGTTTTATCGTAAAGTGCTCGACTTGGAGAGCGGATCGTTGGACTACCAAAGCGGAGGAGCCATCCCCTCTGCAGAGGATCAACATTTTGATGGCAAGTCTTCGGTTCATACTCCGGGTTGTTTCCCAGACCGTCACCAATAGCCTATTGTGCTGCTCTAATGCGACGTAAATGAAATACCTACCACCTATTTTTTGTTGTTGTTGTAGTTCATTTACGTCGCACTAGAGCGGCTCAATGACATATTGGCGACGGTTTGGGAAACATCCCTGTGGATGTTTCCGAAGACATGCTATCACAATTTTGATCCTCTGCAGCCCTCTGCAGAGGATCAAAATTGTGATAGCATGTCTTTTAAAGCAAAATTGTGACACCCTCGCTTCGGTAGCCCGACGAACTGCAAGCGAAATCGAGCATTTTACGGTAGAACAGTTTAACGAGGACCAATGCCGCACGCCCTCAATCCCTACGCAGACTGATCCAAGTGGTCACCCACCCGCACACTGACCGCAGCCAGTGATGCTTGACTTCGGTAACATGCTGCGAACCGTGTCTTAACGATCAGTCCACTGCGGGAACCTACCTATTTTTAATAATTAAAGTGTTACATTTTCTGACAGAATGCAGCTCCACCTAATATCAGTTAGAAAGTTACTTCATGTAACTTTTTACTGTTTAAGCGTTAATTTATTATTATCTTTTATGTTTGTTTTTAACTCCTGAGTTTTGCCAGTTGGTACTTTTCCTTTCACGTATGCACGTAGCTGAGAATTTAGTTCTTCCAAAATTATATCGTCAGAAAATGATTAGTTTACATAATACACAGTAAACAGCATGTTGTATTTTGTCGTATTTTGGGGATTGCTTCAAGGTTTGAAATGTTTATAAAAAATAGCTTTAAGTGTCTTTACTTCATTGCTTTCATTTAAGATTAAATTAAATATCGCATCTTATGTGCGTTGTTTTTGAACTATTATTTTAAACTATTATTTATGTAATTAAATAAATACAAATTCATTTATAAAACTTTAATCTTAACTGTTCATTTATCTTGAAGCACTTTTTAATTCTTCTTTTAATCTTATTTTCATAAATACGTTGTTGTAATGTTTCTAAAACCATCCATATAGTGAAAACCTTTACCACCTATGAAAAGAAAAATAAACTCTTGAACACTTTTAAAGCATTATGCCTCACAATTAATGTATCTCGTTTTCTAGATTATATTTCCCACTCATTCTGTGAATCAAATATTAGTAAATTTTTAAAAATAAATTCCCGATTAGAAAAAAAACACTGTAATCATATCTGTTATTTCATTAACTTTACTTTGGTTTAGGATGTTATAAATTTGCATTTGAAGTTATCTGATCATATAGAAGTGTTTTTAATGATCTTTTGAATAATTGTGCCATGCTGTATGTTATGATATTTAAGATAAACTAAATACAATCTATAAACAATGTCAATGTGACTTTTACAGAAATCCTGCATGGTTGTAAGAGGTATTTTCACATTTAAATTAATGATTTCAAATTTTAAGCTGATCTTTTTTTCTAATCAAATATTTTATCTATTGCTACATTATCTTATCAGCTGTCTTATCTGCTGCTATTTAGAAATTGTTCGATGTTTATTGCTGTTTTATTACAGTTATTTATTATTGCTTTGCATTATAATTTTAGTATGAATGTAATTTCAAGAATCGCTGAGAGAAATAAAGCAATATCTTTTTATTTGCAATTTTTGTATTTGATATATTTAAACTAAAGCTATATAATTTTTTCAACAATCAAAATAATATTTAATATTTGTCTACTTGTTTAAAATTGATAACTTTTTCATTGCAGTTTTATATTTTTTGTATGAAAATGGCTTAAAATTTTAATGTTAGTAAGATCTCAAAACCGAAAAGTACCTTTCCGCTGAGGAATTTTTACTTCTATAATATTTGATGTGTTCGTAACATTTTCGTGTGTTTATAAGTTTGCAAATTTTCAAGGAAACTGTTCTGAAACAATGTGCAGATATTTAAAATCGAGCACCTTTTATTAATACAAAGAGTATAAATAGACAATAATAAAAAAATAAAACTTTATACTTTTCTTATTAGAAACTAAAAAAAAATTATTAAATAAAAAGATTAATATTATTTCTTAAATTTTATTTTTGTCGGTAATATTTAATACGAGGAATCTACATTTGAAAATTGATGTTATAGTTTCTGTGAAATAAAAATTTAAAAACTAAATCCAAATTAACGGCTAAGGAAATTTTTAGTAATTATTACTCAATATCTATGAAACCAATAACTTCAAATTTTTATATTCTAAGATATAAATTTTGTAGCATAATATATAGTTTAAAAATTCCACTAATTTTCTTTATTGCTTTTGATTTACTGTAGCTGAGTTCTATAAAATTACCACTGTTCGCTTCGGAGATATAATGAGTTAGTCACATATTTTTTATGCCTAACTTAATATTTATTACTATTTATTTTTATAATGTGTTAATGGAGTGGACTTCTTATGTAAATATGACACTCATTTCTGATTTAGACAACCCAGGTCCTTCCCATGCTGCTCTTAGGACAGTGATAGTCAAGTGGCTAAATTATAGGACTAAGGTCCGTAGGGGATATGGTTCAATCCTTAAGCACACAGAGTACATACGATATACGTGCTCGAAATATCTGTGGAATCGAAGATCCTGTGATCGATCCCAGAGTAATTTCATGGGTACAGGGATCTGGAGAAAATTTCCTTCCCCTTCAAATCTATGCTTAAATTGGGGAAGCGCCCTCACTAATGAGATCCTCTCTGCAGAGGATCAAAATTGTGATGTTATGTCTTCGGGTCATCCTCAGACTGGTTTTCCAAACTGTCGCCAATAGCCCATTGTGCAGCTTTAGTGCAGCGTAAGTTACTCACTGATGTTGCTCTTAGACCACAGTGCTTATGAAAAATCTCTCTAAAGATTGATAAGTTATGGATCAAAATAACACTTCCTTCAGAACAACCACGAGAGATTTTCGTGCATTTTTTAATGAAACGCAAATGTAGTTTCTTATGAAAAGTTATCTTCAAAAAAGGTTCATTCCAATACTGATCTCTGAACCATCAGTTCATCCGCCACCTTGATTCAGTTTATAATTAATTATAAGAAAGGTTGCAATTTTGTAAGACTTCACATTCGCTAAATGAAAATTCTTCAACTACATGGCTGAAATAAATTATGCGTGTTACAATATCATATCAATATATCATAGGAAACTGCGATATACCCACTACAACAATGTATTGCTTTTACAATTAATGCTATGTGAGATTTAATGTCTTATTCTAATCCTTTTGAAAAGTTATAAAATAGAAGTGCTGTTTAAAAGTAGAAAATGGTTTGTTTTTTTAAATTTTTGTCAATTATTTATTTATAGAAATGAGTTGTCCTAAATACGAAAAACATGAATTTTTAAATATTTGGATATTATTTAAAATTAGCATTCAGAACACACACATATATATGTACAATTGATAATTTAAAGAAAATAATCATAAATTATCAGAAATATTACTTTAAAATGATATTATACTTATATCGTTATTCTTTTAAAATTGTTTGGATATATGTTTCGAATTGTTAAGTACGCAGATTTACTAAAAAGTTAAAAATGCATATATGACTATAATAAAATATTTTATTGTGGAATTGCAAATCCGTGATTATACGACAATTTAGAGTTTTCGACGAGAAATACATATATTCAAGATAATATATAGCACCGAAATTCGATTTTTAATATGCTGGTAGAGGAATAAGGTGCTATTCGATAGTTGTCTAGCAATACACAGAATAAACTTATTGTTTGTGAATATGCATTTTAACAAAAAAAAATTTCTTTAATTTAATAAATTAATCCTAATAAAATTAAACGTTTAATTTTCAGTTTTAAGTTTCTCAGTTATTTATTACTAAAAAGAGTTTAAAAATTACTAATTAGAATTTAAACCTCGTGGAAAGCAGCAGTTAAACATAGATTCCTCATCCCCGTTGTCTGTCACATTTGCATTTCATTTCCCTTTTGATTTTTACAACATACTTAATTTTGCTTATCATATGATTACATAAAATTGAGAACGCTCCCTTTGTTTCACATTAGCCGCTTCTGCTTTTTACGCCATAAAACTCTACTTTCAACCCATCAACTATTTTTCCAAAAGATAAAAAAACAGTTATATCTTAAAAGCTGATAAATCTAAGATGTATTTCTTTCATAACAATGATTCTTAACCTCATCTTAGCGCTAAATTTCTTACATTATAAAATGTTATATAGCAATTTTTTCGTATTTTAGCATTTTCAACTGTTGAAGGAGCAACAACTAATCCTTGTGAGGGTAAAGAAGGTTGCATCATCCCAAATCCAGAGGTTGATGATTGTACCTCATACATTCGATGTGCCAAAGATACCTCCTATGAAGTGTTAACCTGCTCAACTGGACTTCTCTTTAATGCCTTAAAGAGAACATGTGACTACAACACAAGTGTTAACTGCCCCGCTGAAGGTTCGAATGATTTAATTACTATTTATTAACTGAAATCCTTTACTCGAAATATTGTTTTGTACATTCTAAAGTGAAATGAACTCTTAATTTCAAGGTGTGGTTTCATAGCGAAATGTAAATAATATTCTGCAAGTGGTGGAATAGGAACAGAGTAATATATCACATTTTAAAATTATTTTGATGAGAGTTTTTGATGAAGAACATGTTATCTAAGGAAATAAGATGGGTTTATGTGTTGTAATTCTAGCTAACGGAATTCCTAAGACCTGCAAAGTATCGATCTGGAAATGATACTACTGAAAAGTTTGTTCCGTTTGAGATATGTCATTTCATTTCGGATACATTCTTTAAATAGTTCATTTATCTTGGCTAGCAGATTAAAGGCTAGACCATGCCACAAGTTCTTTCGTTAGCATTACATACAATCGCGTTAGGGGAAGTTTATGGTTGGTGAGGGGAAAACTTATCACCAATGATGGTTACTCATGACAATAATTACTTCCCGTATAGATGAACTTATAGAGAATATATAGTATTCTTACGATGGATAGACCATATAGACTGATTTTAAATATGGCCTAAAATAAATAGTCTTCTGCCCATGTTAGAACTATTCCTCTTTTTATATGACATATTTCAGTTGAATATAATTCAAAATCAGCAGCAAAATTATTCTGCAAACAGTGAGTATGTGACGGAAATAATAAAAGAATAAATATACTAGTTCGGTCAATGTACACAAAATCAAGAGCACATTTAGTAGTTAAGTTAAGAGTTAAGTTAAGAGTTTAGTAGTTAAGAGTTTAAAGTTTAGAGGATACTTTGATTATAGCAACTGAAAGTATTTGCCGCGATATTGAAATTTTTTAATTTATAATTTTCCATTGATAGAAATTTATACTATCGAAATAATTAACTTTCTATACATAGAAAATTATATCCTTGTTTATCTTCTATACTTTATGAAACTTGTTTGTTTAAAACTGCGATTGAATTTAAAAAAATTACAGCTGAACACATTTATTTTACATTTAAAAACTACTCCAACATTAAAGTTTTTTTTTAATTTTAATTCGATGACTATTAATTTTTCGGTGACAATGAAGAAGAAATATTTGATTTCAATCTGTAAAACTAATCATTATCGCATAAAAAGAAATTCGATGATGGAATGTTTAAATTTACACCAAAATTGATGCAAGCGTGTCTTTCAACAAAACTTATGGAAATTCTAAGACGTAACACAAAAGTCGAGACTTCGCTGAATAAAATTATTATCGACTAAATAAATATCAATTCTATGCAAAGAATAGCAAGCACATCTTGCGAAAACTTGTTCTGGTGTTAGGAGATAATTTCTAACTTTGGTATAATACATCAAAAGAAATAATACTTTATCGACTTCAATATGAAATGTATAAGAATCAATGCAATGAATTGCCATCGTTCAATAGCTTTTAAACTATCTGTTTTAACATTAATAAAGAAAGGTGATATGCGTATTGAATAGATCAATTTTAATATTCAGACTCAGGAAGTTCTGAAAATGTGTTGAAACTTAATTTCTTTAACATGGAGATATTAAAATGCATTTTGCAGAGGATGCTTAGGGAAACTACCAAATCTTTTTTCCAAAAATTAACTGAATGAACAAATATCACTAGTTTTATACAAAATGAATTGATTTCTTAACGAAAATAGACCGACATCCTTTTAACTTTGAACAATTATTTTGAATAAGAATTTAATAATTAGAAAAATAGTGACCATGTTTTCTTAATGCTGTTTTATTCAATCATGCAAAATTAAGCAATAGTTGACCTTATAAAAATTACCATGTTATTTTTACAAATTTCAAAAATGAGTTTCAAGCATAGCACTCAATAGAAATTTTATTGTTAACTGCGATGAAGCTTTTACCTAATATGGTTTTAAAAGTTCATTCAGGTCTAAGTAACGAACACATTTTCGTGGTGCACTAAAAAGTAGTGAATATAAAGTTACATTTTATCTAAAATCCATTTAATTATTAACAAAAGGGAATTGTACGAAACATAAGTAAATGGGCATTTCAGCTAGAAATATAAACATGTATAGTAAAATAGCTCATGTAAAGGTTCGTTCCCCCATAAAAACAGTTCTCAACAATGGGACGGATGGTGCCAAATTACTGTCAAGAAAATTTCATACTCTATGGAATTAATGTCGGGATATCTCACTGATCACTGCATCCTCTGAATATCTACGATTTCAATGTAATCCTCAACCAACTCATTAATATGTAGATGCGCGTTGTCATCGTATAAAAATGAATTAGAAATCACCTATGCATCTGAAATATTGTACACAGGGATCTAAGACGAAGTTCACAAAATAAAAAAAAACATTTCATAAATGATTCAAACAATTTCAGACTAAATTAAAGGTTTGACATTGTTTTATGCACTAAGAAATTATCAATATCGCGTAAAATACTTTCAGTTACGATATTCAAAGTATCCTCCAAATTTTGGTTTGCGAAACGTGCAATTTTGCGTTTATTGATCGAACTGGTATGTTTATTGTTTTATTATTTCAGTTTTGATGAAACGATAAGCTGAATAATTCATCGATAAATATACCCCACGAATTTTGCGCTATTACTTATCATGGAACCCAATAAAAAAATGCAATCCGAGTATGGAAAAAAAAGGAATCCAATTATGGTAAAATTATGGAATCCAATTATATATCATAAGATGCAATTTATATTCTATAGAATTTACTTCCTATGTAGTACTTGCTTAGTAAAATTTTTAAGTCCTGTTCAAAAACAAACTTAGTTAACTTTGTGTTAATCTTGAATCGCAATATATAAAATATGTAATAAAATGAACAACACCATGAATAAAATTAACAAAATTGAAAAAATGAAAAACCAATGCAATGCACTCCTAGTGATCAATTTATGAATGTGCTTCCCTGTACCCATTAATTATATTTACTTTACAATTTTGGAAATCTATACAAAGAGTTCCCAACCCTATGCCCACGTGCACCATGGAGCCCGTAAATTAGTTTTCTAGAAAATTCTAAATAAAATTATGAAACCAAATTATAAATTTACCTCGAAAAAATAAATATTGCACTAGTGATTGTTCTAGAAGGTACTCTTAAATACAGTAATGCTAAAGGACAGCGATCTCACTAGATATACCTTGATTTTACACTAAACGATAAAAAAGTAAAATCCGTACCACTTTAAGTTCTCGTCTACGAAGGAAAAAATTACATTACCTTGGAATGGAAGAAAAATGATCAAATCCTCTGAAAATCTCTAAAGCACCAAGTGCATCAGCATATATTTATTAAATGTGCATTCCTTAGTATACGATTGCAACATGTCACCGTTTTTATTAAAGGAAAATATTGGCATTAATTAAAAATTCAATTTATTTGTTTAAGCTTGCCTTTTTATTGCGACATCCTGTAATAATAGCACTGCGAAACAATTTGTTTTAATATTTATACAAATATTTGATTTTGCTTAAATTCGAATATGAGGATTTCAAATCTGAAATTAGTTTTAATCCCAAAGTTGCACATTTTTAGTCTATTTTTCGAATGAATGTACAAGTTAAAAGATTTTGTATATAACAGGAGGTGCATAAATGTTACAACTAACTTCTAGGAGAGTCAGGGAATATCATCAGGGGATAGCAAAATTGCCTAAAGTGTCGTAGTGGGTGGCTAAGGGCTCTTTTCCTTTACGACCTGTTCAATAGAACACAAAGAAACAGTTCATAATAGGGAAACTTCCCTTTTTAGCGAATGACACTTCCGGACAGGGATTTTTACTGTTTTAATTCAGATAATGTGCCCTAGCTCTTCTGGAAGTTTAACGCGACATTTGAGACCCCCTGTTATGTATAACGTTTTTAAACTTGTAGGGTAAACTAACCAGTAAAGGAACACTCAGTAAAGGAACACTTAATTTTGGTAATTTTTTAATGTTCTTTATGAATTTATAAGTCATACAAATATTCAAAAACAAGCCTATTCTTGAAATTATAACATATAAATACTTGGAAAATGTTAAATTATTTTTGTAATCATGAATTGAAAATTAAAGTGTTAACATATTAACACATACTGTTCATTAAATTGTAATCACATCTATGCCCAGTAAAGGAACATGCCTGTTCCCTCACTGGTTAGAAGCTGTTTTTCGTATTTTTAACATACTTTTGATGCGGAACATCACTAAAGGTACAAGAAAATTAAAGTTTATCTTTTATTTTCATTAACTTAGAAAAAAAACCAGTAAAGGAACACTTGTTCCTTCACTGGTTTTTCATCGTTTGGTGATCCAGTGAATAAACACCCCCTTATCTCAGTACTTTATTATGCTATGATGCTTAAAAAAAATAAAACGTAACTTCAATAACTATATTTTGAATTCTCTTTTTCACAGTGAGAAAAATAAAACTATTACATGCAATTAATTCCACTTCAAACATATAAATACAAACACTCACCTTATAATTTTTTCAAAGAAACAAGGTGTTGCAGAGATAATAACAAATTCAAAAATTTTTCCAGAGAAGTCTATTTGACCAGGTAATCCAAAACATTGCTAGATGACTTCCTATTGTTTGGCAGTAAGCTATTGTTACCAATCAATCTAAAGAAAAACTTTCAAATTCTTATTTTTAATGAATATATATGAAATGTTCCTTCACTGGGTAGTGTTCCTTCACTGGTTGGTTTACCCTATATTTCGACAAAAAATAAACTAAAAAACGTCATTTGAAAAAAAGGAGCTTGGAGAAAGAAACAGGTTGCAGATTTCATATCTGCGAAACAAAAGGATCTAAGATCTGTTACGAAAAAAATCTCATACAACAGAAAACAAAAAAATTGTTCCTCAGTGTCATTCGCTGATAGGGGAGTGAATATTTTCACATGAAAAGCTTTTAGAATGATTTTTTTTTTCCAGATGTACCACCGGAAGAAACTGAAAATCGAATCAGCATCCCATCCAGCGATGTTCAATGTGAAACGGACACGTGCACCTGCGTATATCCCAGTGAACACAGTTGTTCAGAATATTACCGCTGTGAAAATGGAATTGCATATAAAGAAGAGTGCCCTAAAGGTCTCAATATGAACAAGCAGAAACTGACCTGCGATTATGAAGAAAATGTCGATTGTTGTAAGTATTTTTAGTATACTGTAAGAGCATCATTTTTATTTGCTCTAAGTGTATTAAGAGCTGAGAATAAAAAATTAGAATAACAAACTAGAATAATAAATAATAGCTTTGCGAAAGAATTATCTTAATTTTTGTTAATTTTTTAAGAAAGCTACACACGTTTTTTGACAAAAAAATTAAATTAAAAAAATATTTGAAAAAAATTTGTACTTTTACTTCAAATTTATTTTTTAATGGCGGGCACTTGGGGGTTGTCCCATTCGCCACAGAAATGCCAGAACTGCTACTCTCTTCTCGTTACCCAGTGGGCACCTATGGCGAAGCCATGGCGGTGGAGCAGCGTCGCCCACGTCACACAATCACAAACCCGTTTATAGGGCGGGTCGCATTCACACAATCACACACAAAGGAGAAAGGACATAGAACACAGAGAGAAAGAAACATCCATGCCCTGAGCAGGATTCGAATCCACGACCAGTGGCTCCACAGTCAGGCACTCTAACCACTCGGCCACCAGGTCGGCCCTTTTACTTCAAATTAAAAAACTAAATTTTGCTTGAAGATGTATAGTACATTGACGCTGTGAGCTCAATTTGGGCTTAGTTTGATTTGATAGTGATAGTGGTTACATAGTGATAGTGATTGATATTGATTGATTGATTTGATAGTGATTTGATAGTAGATANGACAGAGCAGACTGAAACGGAAACGACAGAGCAGACTGAAACGGAAACGACAGAGCAGACTGAAACGGAAACGACAGAGCAGACTGAAACGGAAACGACAGAGCAGACTGAAACGGAAACGACAGAGCAGACTGAAACGGAAACGACAGAGCAGACTGAAACGGAAACGACAGAGCAGACTGAAACGGAAACGACAGAGCAGACTGAAACGGAAACGACAGAGCAGACTGAAACGGAAACGACAGAGCAGACTGAAACGGAAACGACAGAGCAGACTGAAACGGAAACGACAGAGCAGACTGAAACGGAAACGACAGAGCAGACTGAAACGGAAACGACAGAGCAGACTGAAACGGAAACGACAGAGCAGACTGAAACGGAAACGACAGAGCAGACTGAAACGGAAACGACAGAGCAGACTGAAACGGAAACGACAGAGCAGACTGAAACGGAAACGACAGAGCAGACTGAAACGGAAACGACAGAGCAGACTGAAACGGAAACGACAGAGCAGACTGAAACGGAAACGACAGAGCAGACTGAAACGGAAACGACAGAGCAGACTGAAACGGAAACGACAGAGCAGACTGAAACGGAAACGACAGAGCAGACTGAAACGGAAACGACAGAGCAGACTGAAACGGAAACGACAGAGCAGACTGAAACGGAAACGACAGAGCAGACTGAAACGGAAACGACAGAGCAGACTGAAACGGAAACGACAGAGCAGACTGAAACGGAAACGACAGAGCAGACTGAAACGGAAACGACAGAGCAGACTGAAACGGAAACGACAGAGCAGACTGAAACGGAAACGACAGAGCAGACTGAAACGGAAACGACAGAGCAGACTGAAACGGAAACGACAGAGCAGACTGAAACGGAAACGACAGAGCAGACTGAAACGGAAACGACAGAGCAGACTGAAACGGAAACGACAGAGCAGACTGAAACGGAAACGACAGAGCAGACTGAAACGGAAACGACAGAGCAGACTGAAACGGAAACGACAGAGCAGACTGAAACGGAAACGACAGAGCAGACTGAAACGGAAACGACAGAGCAGACTGAAACGGAAACGACAGAGCAGACTGAAACGGAAACGACAGAGCAGACTGAAACGGAAACGACAGAGCAGACTGAAACGGAAACGACAGAGCAGACTGAAACGGAAACGACAGAGCAGACTGAAACGGAAACGACAGAGCAGACTGAAACGGAAACGACAGAGCAGACTGAAACGGAAACGACAGAGCAGACTGAAACGGAAACGACAGAGCAGACTGAAACGGAAACGACAGAGCAGACTGAAACGGAAACGACAGAGCAGACTGAAACGGAAACGACAGAGCAGACTGAAACGGAAACGACAGAGCAGACTGAAACGGAAACGACAGAGCAGACTGAAACGGAAACGACAGAGCAGACTGAAACGGAAACGACAGAGCAGACTGAAACGGAAACGACAGAGCAGACTGAAACGGAAACGACAGAGCAGACTGAAACGGAAACGACAGAGCAGACTGAAACGGAAACGACAGAGCAGACTGAAACGGAAACGACAGAGCAGACTGAAACGGAAACGACAGAGCAGACTGAAACGGAAACGACAGAGCAGACTGAAACGGAAACGACAGAGCAGACTGAAACGGAAACGACAGAGCAGACTGAAACGGAAACGACAGAGCAGACTGAAACGGAAACGACAGAGCAGACTGAAACGGAAACGACAGAGCAGACTGAAACGGAAACGACAGAGCAGACTGAAACGGAAACGACAGAGCAGACTGAAACGGAAACGACAGAGCAGACTGAAACGGAAACGACAGAGCAGACTGAAACGGAAACGACAGAGCAGACTGAAACGGAAACGACAGAGCAGACTGAAACGGAAACGACAGAGCAGACTGAAACGGAAACGACAGAGCAGACTGAAACGGAAACGACAGAGCAGACTGAAACGGAAACGACAGAGCAGACTGAAACGGAAACGACAGAGCAGACTGAAACGGAAACGACAGAGCAGACTGAAACGGAAACGACAGAGCAGACTGAAACGGAAACGACAGAGCAGACTGAAACGGAAACGACAGAGCAGACTGAAACGGAAACGACAGAGCAGACTGAAACGGAAACGACAGAGCAGACTGAAACGGAAACGACAGAGCAGACTGAAACGGAAACGACAGAGCAGACTGAAACGGAAACGACAGAGCAGACTGAAACGGAAACGACAGAGCAGACTGAAACGGAAACGACAGAGCAGACTGAAACGGAAACGACAGAGCAGACTGAAACGGAAACGACAGAGCAGACTGAAACGGAAACGACAGAGCAGACTGAAACGGAAACGACAGAGCAGACTGAAACGGAAACGACAGAGCAGACTGAAACGGAAACGACAGAGCAGACTGAAACGGAAACGACAGAGCAGACTGAAACGGAAACGACAGAGCAGACTGAAACGGAAACGACAGAGCAGACTGAAACGGAAACGACAGAGCAGACTGAAACGGAAACGACAGAGCAGACTGAAACGGAAACGACAGAGCAGACTGAAACGGAAACGACAGAGCAGACTGAAACGGAAACGACAGAGCAGACTGAAACGGAAACGACAGAGCAGACTGAAACGGAAACGACAGAGCAGACTGAAACGGAAACGACAGAGCAGACTGAAACGGAAACGACAGAGCAGACTGAAACGGAAACGACAGAGCAGACTGAAACGGAAACGACAGAGCAGACTGAAACGGAAACGACAGAGCAGACTGAAACGGAAACGACAGAGCAGACTGAAACGGAAACGACAGAGCAGACTGAAACGGAAACGACAGAGCAGACTGAAACGGAAACGACAGAGCAGACTGAAACGGAAACGACAGAGCAGACTGAAACGGAAACGACAGAGCAGACTGAAACGGAAACGACAGAGCAGACTGAAACGGAAACGACAGAGCAGACTGAAACGGAAACGACAGAGCAGACTGAAACGGAAACGACAGAGCAGACTGAAACGGAAACGACAGAGCAGACTGAAACGGAAACGACAGAGCAGACTGAAACGGAAACGACAGAGCAGACTGAAACGGAAACGACAGAGCAGACTGAAACGGAAACGACAGAGCAGACTGAAACGGAAACGACAGAGCAGACTGAAACGGAAACGACAGAGCAGACTGAAACGGAAACGACAGAGCAGACTGAAACGGAAACGACAGAGCAGACTGAAACGGAAACGACAGAGCAGACTGAAACGGAAACGACAGAGCAGACTGAAACGGAAACGACAGAGCAGACTGAAACGGAAACGACAGAGCAGACTGAAACGGAAACGACAGAGCAGACTGAAACGGAAACGACAGAGCAGACTGAAACGGAAACGACAGAGCAGACTGAAACGGAAACGACAGAGCAGACTGAAACGGAAACGACAGAGCAGACTGAAACGGAAACGACAGAGCAGACTGAAACGGAAACGACAGAGCAGACTGAAACGGAAACGACAGAGCAGACTGAAACGGAAACGACAGAGCAGACTGAAACGGAAACGACAGAGCAGACTGAAACGGAAACGACAGAGCAGACTGAAACGGAAACGACAGAGCAGACTGAAACGGAAACGACAGAGCAGACTGAAACGGAAACGACAGAGCAGACTGAAACGGAAACGACAGAGCAGACTGAAACGGAAACGACAGAGCAGACTGAAACGGAAACGACAGAGCAGACTGAAACGGAAACGACAGAGCAGACTGAAACGGAAACGACAGAGCAGACTGAAACGGAAACGACAGAGCAGACTGAAACGGAAACGACAGAGCAGACTGAAACGGAAACGACAGAGCAGACTGAAACGGAAACGACAGAGCAGACTGAAACGGAAACGACAGAGCAGACTGAAACGGAAACGACAGAGCAGACTGAAACGGAAACGACAGAGCAGACTGAAACGGAAACGACAGAGCAGACTGAAACGGAAACGACAGAGCAGACTGAAACGGAAACGACAGAGCAGACTGAAACGGAAACGACAGAGCAGACTGAAACGGAAACGACAGAGCAGACTGAAACGGAAACGACAGAGCAGACTGAAACGGAAACGACAGAGCAGACTGAAACGGAAACGACAGAGCAGACTGAAACGGAAACGACAGAGCAGACTGAAACGGAAACGACAGAGCAGACTGAAACGGAAACGACAGAGCAGACTGAAACGGAAACGACAGAGCAGACTGAAACGGAAACGACAGAGCAGACTGAAACGGAAACGACAGAGCAGACTGAAACGGAAACGACAGAGCAGACTGAAACGGAAACGACAGAGCAGACTGAAACGGAAACGACAGAGCAGACTGAAACGGAAACGACAGAGCAGACTGAAACGGAAACGACAGAGCAGACTGAAACGGAAACGACAGAGCAGACTGAAACGGAAACGACAGAGCAGACTGAAACGGAAACGACAGAGCAGACTGAAACGGAAACGACAGAGCAGACTGAAACGGAAACGACAGAGCAGACTGAAACGGAAACGACAGAGCAGACTGAAACGGAAACGACAGAGCAGACTGAAACGGAAACGACAGAGCAGACTGAAACGGAAACGACAGAGCAGACTGAAACGGAAACGACAGAGCAGACTGAAACGGAAACGACAGAGCAGACTGAAACGGAAACGACAGAGCAGACTGAAACGGAAACGACAGAGCAGACTGAAACGGAAACGACAGAGCAGACTGAAACGGAAACGACAGAGCAGACTGAAACGGAAACGACAGAGCAGACTGAAACGGAAACGACAGAGCAGACTGAAACGGAAACGACAGAGCAGACTGAAACGGAAACGACAGAGCAGACTGAAACGGAAACGACAGAGCAGACTGAAACGGAAACGACAGAGCAGACTGAAACGGAAACGACAGAGCAGACTGAAACGGAAACGACAGAGCAGACTGAAACGGAAACGACAAAGCAGACTGAAAACAAAACAACATTGAAGATAGCTAATACGACAACTGGAATAGAAAGAGAAACATCAACAGAAATTGAAACATCTACGGGAACTGAAAGAAAAATGTCAACGAGGATTGATTCAAGGTTCGAAACAGAAACTGAACTGGAAACGACAGAATTTAAAGAAGTACGAACGGAACCAACCACATCTTCTCAAACCAAACATGCAATATTAGAAACTTCGGAGTCATTCATCTCTTTTAAAACAGAAACAACCCAGTTTACAGAAAGAGAGGGGTCTACCATGTTTCCAAAAACAGAGCATGAAACACATTTTTCTGATTCTCAAGAAATCACATTTGAAAAGAATACAGAAGCCACGTCTGTAAAGTCAAAAGAAATAACATCTTCTGAAATTACACCTCTAACGTCAGCTGGAACTATGCTTACAACGTCAGAAGATAATTCGCTCTTCAATTCTGAGTCAACTACACAAGTTGGATCATCAACGTCCTCAGAAGCTCAGTTGGGAACAACAGAGAAAATCACGAATATTACGTTTGTTTCAAAATTCACCACTGAAGTTACACCAGTAGCATCTACAGAATTGGCCACTGAAAATACATCTGTAATATCTACAGAATCGGTCACTGAAGACACTCCTGAAACACCTGAAGAATTGGCCACTGAAGATACGACAATATCATCTACAGGATCGACAACTGAATACACATCACTATCATCTAAAGAACAAATTTTTCAAGATATATCAGTAACATCTACGAAATATACACCAAAAATACAATTAGAAACAACTACAGAAACTGTGACAGCCACATCTTCAGAAATCGTATCTAACAGCAATGAACCCTCGACTTCCACAAATATAGAACTGTTGATATTTGAAACCACTCAGAGTAATGCATCTAAGTTTGTGAACGACGAAATCACGCCAAACTCAAAATTGTATCTTACTTCAACTCAGGAAACTGAATTTATACAGAGTACAGAAACAGAGTCTGTCTTTCCAACTGAAACCAAGCTTGTATTAACAACACCTGAAGTCAGAAAATCCACAAAGATTGATTTAGTAATGTCTACTTATAATGAACTTACCCTGCCTACACAGTCTGAACTAGAAACGTCAAAAGATGCAGAGCACGAAGCATCAACAGAATCAGTTTCCGAAATCTCAAGCGAGTCTTCACCCGAAAGCTCGACTGCGCAGACTGAAACCGAAACAAAAATACAGACAGTTATCGAAACGACTACGTCAACAAAAACAGTAAACGAAGCGTTTACGACTTCTGAAACTTCAATAGGAACTGAAAACGAAATGTCAACGGCGATAGATTCTGGGTTTCAAACTGAAAGTGACCCCAAAAATAGATCAGAACAAGAAACGATAAATTTTAAAGATGAACAAACAGAACTAGCCACTTCTTCTCAAACCAAACAAACTTCTGAGGCAGTTCCGTTTTCAGAAGCAGAAACGGAGACAGAGACTTCAGCATCAACAGAAACAACAATTATAATGTCTACAGAAGCCACATCTGCATCGTCAAGAAAAATTAAATTTTTAGAAACTACTACAGAACTGCTAACTGTAATTACGTCGTTGACGTCTGCAGAACTCCAGTCTTCGACAGAGCCCGAAGTGCCGTCTACGACAGAGCCCGAAGTGCCGTCTACGACAGAGCCCGACGTGCCGTCTACGACAGAGCCCGACGTGCAGTCTACGACAGAGCCCGACGTGCAGTCTTCGACAGAGCCCGACGTGCAGTCTTCGACTGAGCCCGAAGTGCAGTCTTCGACAGAGCCCGAAGTGCAGTCTTCGACAGAGCCCGAAGTGCAGTCTTCGACAGAGCCCGAAGTGCAGTCTTCGACAGAGCCCGAAGTGCAGTCTTCGACAGAGCCCGAAGTGCAGTCTTCGACAGAGCCCGAAGTGCAGTCTTCGACAGAGCCCAAAGTGCAGTCTTCGACAGAGCCCAAAGTGCAGTCTTCGACAGAGCCCAAAGTGCAGTCTTCGACAGAGCCCCAAGAGCAGTCTTCGACAGAGCCCCAAGAGCAGTCTTCGACAGAGCCCGAAGTGCAGTCTCCGACAGAGCCTGAATCTCAGTGGTCCACGAGGGCTTCAACTGTGGTTAGTACTGAAGTGTTAACAAGGAGTAACCTTAAAATTTCAACAGATTCAGAATTTGAAATTTATTCTCAGACGGAGACTTCCATATCTCCCCAAATGGAAACAGATACGTCCATTGTAATGGAACCAATTTCTTCCCACATAACTGAAACCCAACTTACAACTAATTCATCTATACTTCTTACATCCAGCATTGATATCTCGTCTACTGACAGTGTTTCTCGAGATCCTAAAAGTCTGACAGGAGATCCCACCATTAATTTTACTATTAAGTATTTGATTACTACTGATTTTGATACATCAACTCAGACATTCCCTTCTGTAGATCATTCAGAACCTGATACATATACGACTGATGATATATTAAAGGCAACGTCACAAGCTTCTGATGAAACTAGTTCAGACATATCCAACAAAGACACTATGGATTACAGTACAGTAAAGTTTCAAACAGATAGATATGGAACTTTTTACAGCATAGAATCTGAAGCAACAGAAAGCACAACAGTCACTACTAAACATATTAATTCAGAGTGTCCAGATTGTGATGACTGTAATGTACCAGATGTTTCAGACTGCTCTAAGTATTTTAATTGCCAAAATGGGTCTAAAGTATCCAGACAGTGCCAACTGAGATACCTCTTTAGCAGTATATCCAAAGAATGCGAAACGTTTGATAAAGTTTCCTGTAACTCTAGTTCAAGTCAATGTATTGATAGAGAAGGATTTTATCCTGATCCCGAAGATTGCTCTTCTTTCCTGCATTGTTATCATGGCGTTGCTTACAAGATTACTTGTCCGGAAGGACTCTTTTATAATCCAACGAAACGAACATGTGATTTAAAATCGGAATGTGGTAAGTTTCATTTTCATGCTTTAGTAATAATTAGCTTGTTCCAATACTACAAATTTACTGTTTTAAATGTTTTAGCAAAAACATTTTTAGAAATTTTAAGTCTTAGAAACATTTAAGCTTAAAAACTTCATTTTTATACAAGTAACTTCGACTAAAAATTACTTATCCCTTACAAAAATAAATTAAAATTTCGATGATCTTAATAACAATGAGAGTGTTTTTATATACGGATGAAGTTTGAAAAATAGTTTTGTTTAACTAAATGTTACTAGACTACCGTTTTAAATATTATGGATTCTAAAACACTTGGCAGCTGTGGTTTCAATAACGAAAAATTATTTAAACTGGCTAACATGTTTATCAAAATTATTATTGATGGTTTTGCAATAATCCGCTTTAAACAGTATCGAAACATAAAATTTTTAACAACAAACATTTAGTTCAATCGTTAGGTAAATGGCGATCTCTGGTTCATAATCGATCCCTTATTTTTATTTCAATATTAAGGGCGCTGATGTTTTTCTTCTATAAGATAAAAATTTTGTAATATATCAATATTTTATGCAAAACAATTGATCTGAGATATGATTTTAGTGATGATATGATCAAATTTTTGATAACGTTTCTGTCTTTTTCTCGCTTACATATTGATTTGCAACCCACAGTGTCTCCATTTTTAACAAAGATTCTAAAAATGTATATTAAGGCCTTGCTTTACAATAAACATTTGCAAAATAACTAATGTTATGAGAGAATTGTTTTAAGATTAAACTCAGTTTCTAAAAAACTTTTCAGGAAAGCAATCAACATTGATCATTGATGTTGAATGTGTAAATTTTGTCTCACCTAATCTTCATGATTTTTCCAAATACTATCTCTGTCTCAACAAAAATAGAGTTTGAAACGATTTAAAAGTAATATATAAGATTGAGAGTATTTATTAAAGATTCAATTTTGTGCATCTTGAAATTTTCAGGAACGCAACCAGCACTGCCAACATCAAGAAATTATGATGTTGAATGCGAGTGTGAAAATTGTGCCCTACCTGACTCGGATGACTGTTCCAAATACTATCTCTGTCTGAATAACAGTGCATATGAATTGAAATGTGAGGATGGTCTACAATTTAATCCTGAAACATCATATTGTGACTATCCTGGTAAATTTTCGTGCGCCAAGTATTCACCGGAATGCTTGGAGAAAAATGGATTCTTCCCAGTTGTTGGAAATTGTTCGAAATATTATCATTGCGTTGGAGGAGTTGCATATCAAACGAGCTGCGATGTAAATCAACATTTCAGCATATCCACTGACAGTTGTGAAGATCCGTGTGATGCAGAATGTGATAAATCATTGGGTATGTATTTATATCAATTTCATTGAACTATAATCAATTCCATTTTAATATTTTTATTTCAAAAAGCTAAATTATCTCCCTGCAATGTCTCTGTCTCTGCAATTTAAGCTTTTAAAATCTTTTCTAATATTTTTAAGGAAATTTTTTTCGACTTCACGGTCTTAATGGGTTGAATTAAAGTTCTGGGACAAAGTGTACACTGTATTGTATGGCTTTTTATAGGATAAAGTACGGTCGTATTCAGTTGTTTTGACATTTTCAGCAAAATCAAGACTTATGTTTTACTTTCTAAAGAGTGAAATTGTTCCTGTCTGCAAAATGAGCACGAGTTCTGTAATTTGACGAATATCTGATTATGGTTATTTTTCGCAGAATGTTCTACATCTACTACACTTCCTGCCTCAGTATGCAAAGAGCCGAATGGTTTTTATCCTCATCCAACAGATTGCAATAAGTTTTACAAGTGTGTGGATTATCTGCCTATTTTGTCTGAATGCATTGGAAATGATCATTTTAGTCCGATTAATAAAATTTGTCAAGATCCATGCGATGCTCTATGTGATGTAAATCTTGGTAAGAACTTTTAGAACTTTTAATGCCATTTACGTATTTTACAACAATGAACAAACAGACTGAAGTAAGTTTAAATAACTTGATAAGTTTAAAAAAAGCATCATTTACTAAACTTGGTTTTTATAAGTATCAATCTAGCATACGTAAAATAATATAATAGTTTGAGAAATATAAAAATCAGTTTTAAAGAGAAACGAAAGGAGAAAAAAATAAATGGTTTCCTGAGCTAAGCTTATAAAACTGGAAATTTATTCCTGGAAAATTTCAAAATAAATCAAAAAGTTCATTGATAGTTGGCATTGTTGACTGGAAGACGCAATAAAACAATTTTTTCTACTACAAATCAGACTAATAAAATTCTTTCAAAAACGTCTGTTAATTTTGGTGCTGAATATGATTATTTTGAAAGCAGCACAATATTATATTTAATATAATAATTATTTGAACAATTCATTTCCGAGACGGTAGTGCTAGTTGTTGGCAAACTTTATAGCTAATTTAAAATTTGGCTGCAATAAAAATCCTGTTTTTATTAACGTAGAGCAGAGTAAATCGTACATTTCTATCTCCTTCTGCTTTTTTAATTGGTTTTTCCAATTTGATACCTTAAAATGACGTCATCGTAGGTAAATCGTAGCAATTATCGATTCAGAATCCAATCAAGTTGACGCGTGACGTCATTTACAGATATCCAATTAAATCTAATTGAAATCACGAGGATAAGCAATATTACTTCTTCTCATAATTACTTCTTAAGTAGTAAGTATCCAATTGTTGATAATTTTTGAAATTCCTGAAATCAAATAAAAGAGTTTATTATTTTAAAAAGTATTTCTTAATCAGATTGAAAATTTACACTGTAAAAATTTTAATGAATTTTAATTACCGAAAATGGTGCCTACTACTTTACACGAAAGTGGTGTCTAACCAAGGAGAATAGGCGTAGTGAAATTCCAATGATGTTCTACACAAATTGGTGCCATCATTTTTCGTATTCAGCAACACAAATATTTATAATTATACTAAGATAAGACACATAAAAAAAAGTCGGTAAAGTTATTTTTACAAGAAAACATTCAAGTACTATTTTTCAATTTCGGATGCAAAAATATACAAATTCTTGAAATAAAATTAGTTTCCAAATCAAGCATACTTTTAGTAGGGGAGAGTGGGGTCAATTGTAACAAGGTACGATTGTAACAGAGCAAAAATTTCGAGTATCGGGTTCTAGATTTGGTTCCTAGGTAGCGCACAAGGTGTATTTAATAAATCTACATGTACACCCCTGATGGCAACCATTTTTATGTACTTTTGAAAGAGTTACGTCACAAAAGATATTTTCACGCCACGCAAGTACTTTTTTTGGTATTAGAATATTATNTTCTAACTCCTCCTGCTTTTTTAATTGGTTTTTCCAATTTATACTTTAAAGTCACGTCATCGTAGCAATTATCGATTCAAAATCCAATCAAGTTGACGCTTGATGTCACTTACAGATATCCAATTAAATCTAATTGAAATCACAAGGATATGCAATATTACTTCTTCTCATAATTACTGCTTAAGTAGTAAGTATCCGATTGTTGAAAATTTTTAAAATTCCTGAAATCAAATAAAAGAGTTTATTATTTTAAAAAGTATTTATTAATCAGATTGAAAATTTACACGGTAAAAATTTTAGTGAATCTTAAGTACCGAAAATGGTGCCTACTACTTTACACGAAAGTGGTGTCTAACCAAGGAGAATAGGCGTAGTGAAATTCCAATGATGTTCTACACAAATTGGTGCTAAGTAGCTGCCATCATTTCTCGTATTCAGCAACACAAGTATTTATAATTATACTAAGAAAAGGCACATGAAAGAGTCTGTAAAGTTATTTTCAAAAATTAGTTTCTAAATGAAACATACTTGTGGTGCAGAAAGAATATTAAGACTAATTCAAATTAGGCTTAGCAGAACTGAAGCTGATAGAAATTATAAGTTATAAAATTATTCGATACAGTTTATAGATATTTGAAAATTGAAATAAAAATATGAATGTCCTTATTGCAAAACTAAAAACATTCATATTTTAACGGCTATATTTTGTTTTGTGGACTATTTTTAGATTGTGTGGCTATCAGCGTAGCAGCAACTCTCACAAACGCAAATCTCTTGAGTACCTCACCAAATACTGAAGGTATCACTGTTAGTGATTCAACACCACATTCTGAAATACCAGATGAAACTACTCCTTCGTTACACACAGCTACGGAGGAAAGTCATTCGAATTTCAGTATACTACCACTCATTTTTGAAACGACGGGTAGTTCTGTAACCGATGAAGATACCTCCGACATAGCTCGTTCACTGGAAACAACAGTTTCGACTTCAGATATAGGAAATGAACTTATAACCATTGAATTCAAAACACAAAATCCTGATCAATATACAGTCAGTATGCAGCCTGAAATTTTCTCGACTATAAATCCACTCATCTGTGAACAAGGAGACGGTGTATATCCAAAACAAGGAGATTGTGATTCGTTTATTGCTTGCATGTTGGGAAAACCACGGGATATGAAATGTCCTGAAGGATTGCACTTCAGTCCAACCACTAAGCACTGTGAATATCCATGCGTAGCTAAGTGTGATCCAAATTTTGGTAAGTTCTATTGCCTTATCAATTTTACTAATGAAGGGTATTCCGTAAACACTTCCCTTAATAGTTTTTGAACCCTTTTCGAAAATAAAATCGGAAATATATGTAGGAGAGACAAACTATTACTTCAGCAAGGAAAAAAGAAAAAACTTAAAAAGCTGGCGATTCGTCATTAACAAGTACGGAGTGAGGTATTAAATTATTCAAAAATTTTTTGGAGGTGAAAGTCAACTATTGACCTATGAAAAATAACTCCTAATTTTGTCTGGTAATCAAACTGGATTTGATGTTTTCCTTTTGGCTTTTATAACAGTGATTAGTCAGATTTCTTTTCAATACATAAATATTAAAATTTGATTTATATATTTGTACTATATTTTTAAAATGGATTATAAAAATAAGAGCGTTGATCAAGAGTGAATATTAAGAGCGTTGATTATCGAACTTTCTGCATTTTTTTAAGTCAAAATTTTAGTACCTATTAAATAAAATATGACTTTATGTTAAATTGTATTTTTCTCTTAATTAAAATTTTTGCAACATCAACAAAGGAAATCTTAATTTGCGATAAAAATTTAACAAAAACCTTTATAAAAAGTTTTAATATCTTTCAAAAATTATTATCGGCTTTTGAGTTTTCAACCCCTCGCGTTACGCCCTCTACAGTTTCGTTAATGTAATATTTTATATATTTATTTTTTTCGTCCAATATTTGCTATTTTAAACTTAATTGGTAAACAAAGGACTACTGAGCGAATTCAGCTATTTTTTAATTTCTTTGATTGCTATAGTCCTGAAGAACCTGTTGCGACTTTTTTTCCCCTAATGTTTCCTGAAATATTTGAATGATGAACAGAAAACCACAGAACGAATCCATCTATTTTTAATTTTTCAGATTGCTTTATTCCCGAAGAAGCTACTACATCTACGCCATTACCACTGACTATATGCCCGGTTAAAGATTTCTTGCCAGTGCCAGGTTATTGTGCATATTTCTACAACTGTACGGATGGTATTCGAAAGAAAATGAAATGCCCTCCTAGACTGCATTTTAACCCTACAAGCAGAGTTTGTGATTTTCCTTCACGTGCAAACTGTGGTAAGTTAAAATGTCGCATAAAATTATATGAAGGAATAAATTTGAAATGCAACTAAGCAATCCCTAAATTATAAATGCAACTACTTCGTGCATGATCCCTTAATATGATTTCTGATTCTGCTTATTAAAATTAAAAATAGTTTCAAGATCAGAAAATGTTTTAAGTATTTAAAGCTTTTGAATTTCTCGAATTTTCTTAATGTATTCGATCAATATTTATCGAGACATGGAAGCTTTAGTTAAGAGGTAATGGAAAAACGATAAATGAAACTCTATTTCGTTCGTCACTAAGTATTTTTATGGAGGAATACCGTTCATAAAGTGCTAAAAAAATCTGTTCCGACAACAGCAACTATTTGCTAGTATCTTGCACCGAGTGACTAGACCATCTGCTTAAAATATAAAGTTTCATGGTGGAAAATCATCTGAAACAAAAAGGAACAAGGATTTTTGTTCTGGATTAGTAAAAATGAATTTAAAACAAACAAATTAGAAAAATGAATTGAAGCAAATAGAAAAAATAGCAGGTTGGTTGAAATTAACAGCAATAGCAGATACAGAAAATTTTCGTATCAGAATAGCGAATTATATATATAACATTACTTTTCTAGTTAAAGAGATATTTAGACTACAAAAAAGATAATTAATGATTTTCTAATCCAATAAGCTGAGATGGCCTCTTAATTTTGTAAAACTGTATGAGCCAAAGCAATACTCTATTTGAATATATCCATATAAAGGGAATTTCATTAAATAACTAATTTTAAAATTCTTTATTTCATTAGGTGAGCCAGCTAATCAATTGTATCGTCCAGATCGTCGGATGCAATGCCCGTGTGAAACATGTATTAAACCATCAACAGAAAACTGCAATGATTACTATTTATGCGTGAATAAGATAGCATACCGTATGACCTGCTCAAACGGCTTACTTTTCGATGCAAATAAAAATACTTGCAACTTTGCTGATGCTGCAACTTGTGAAATTACGGCTACGACACCACCCACAGTCAAACCTACTACCTATGTTGCTACCACTCCAACGACAACCACTACAGCAAAAGAACTTAAATGTCCTCAAAGAAATGGAATGTTTCGAAATCCTAACAACTGTGGCTCTTTCATACATTGTTCTAATTGGTGGCCTTACGTGAAAGCTTGTCCTGGAAAACTGCATTTCAGTACTCGTACAGAACGTTGTGAATATCCATGTTTTGCACAATGTGATTCCAGTCTCTGTAAGCAATTGTTTTTTAAATTTCTACCATATTTATGATAAGGGGTGTTTAAAATATAATCCCTCTTACTTAGATCTAAAAAAGTACTTAGATAATATATTTCAAAATTAAAAAAACTCTTTTTGCTTCATAATAGAAATGGAAAATAGGTCGGTACTTTAGCATATCATGTTTAAGTGGTGATCGAAACATATAGACCTTTCTTCCATTTTAACTTGCATATTACGAAGCAAAATTTTTATTTTTTAATCATCAAATGCATTTTTGCTTCAATTTCCTGGATATTATTAATTTTATAAGCTTTAATATGTTAAGAGGAAATAATTAGTGGTAACATAATTGTCAGCATTACTATTAGCATAATTATTACTAGAAAAATTATTACTAGCATAAAGTATTACTAGCATTAAGCTGCCAATTATGATTTTCTTTTAAATTGCAAGCTTTCGAATTGAGAAAATGTTTCCAGACAGTCAATACAAGTTCAAAATAATTTTACATGGAAAATAAGTTCTAGCACTCGGTGTTTTTTACAAAGCAACATTTATTTGAAAAAAAAAAACAGGTCTATTTAAAGGACATTTTTAGACAAATGAACAAAGCAGGCCAATTTTTACCTTGTATTAATTAAGAAGCTTAAAAAAATGTTCCCAATAGTAGGTGAAATAATTAGCTGTCTGGATAAATGCAAAAGGGCTTGATTTTTTTCTCGTTTAACACAAATAATTGTTAACTTTAGGCAAAAATTTCTCTCAAAGAAAAAAAACAGAAAAACTCATGCAACTTCGAACCTTAAGTAAAAAGTAAATAAATGAAAAAAAAATAAAAAATCTAAAATCAAGTTTTGAAGGAAATTTGTGGAGACCAATGCCAAGATAATCACCAATTTTTGAGACATGAACTCAAAATTTTTCACCATTAATATTAATTTCAAAAAGTTATTATTTTTTCAGACATTTTGCCATTTTCTAATTTTTTCTGAAAATTATAAAGTTATTTCTTAATATCATTAAAGCTTTTCATATCCACAGAACAAGGGGCCTTTACCAGTCCTTGATATAGTCCAAATGCTTCGTAAAAAGGATGAGAACTTTCGTTGCCATTTGCAGGTTCAGAATAATTAGTTTAGAAAAATGCAATTTGTTTCGTTCTTGATTAAGGCGATTTTTTGCTAAAGATAAAAAAAGATTTCACACTGTGTTTCCTAATTTATGCAATGAAATCCTAACCAAATAAACTGCAAATGCAATTTTTATTTTAATAAAATTGTTCGTCGTTTTTACATTTTTGAGTTATGTTTTTATTTAGCCTGTGTCGCAACTGAACAGCCAGAAGAGACAACTAACATGCCTGGTATAACACCTGATCCATTGTGTTTATGCATTAACTGTCGTCAGCCAAGTGAAGAAAGTTGTACGAAATACATCGAATGTAAAAATGGAAAACCTACTGTAAAAACATGTCCTCGGGGACAGACCTTTGACAGTAAGAGACGAGAATGCGACTGGGCTCACAGAGTTGACTGTAGACATAGTGATATCTGTTTCAGACGAAATGGTCTGTTTCCTTATAGAGGAGACTGCCATAAATTTGTCCACTGCTCTAATGGCATTCCATACATCAAAACGTGTCCTGCTGGATTAGAGTTTGATGCACAGACATTGAGATGTGAGTGGTCAAGTGGAAAGTGTGGTAAGTCCTTTTTTTCTAAACAGTGTAACTTATTTTTAGTGAAATGACTAGCTGATTTTTTTTTCCTGAGAATTTTTATTTCCTGACACTGAATAAATCTCGGCAAAGTATTTCATTTACTTCTACTTCTGTCCTAGATAGTTAAGTAACCATGCAATTTCAAACGTTTAAAGAGCCTAAAGGCAAATTGCATTCAAATATAATTCAAGGGTTTTATGCAATAACAAAATGTGTCCAGTCCGAATGAAGATATGGCATATTTTGTGCTACGTATAAATAATTCAAAGCAACGGATTGAAGCCCAAATAAATTCACAAAAATGAACACAATATAGTTAAGGTTCTAAACAAGAACTTTTCTCAGTGTAAAACACAAAATTTTGGGTTTCAATGCAAGCTTCTTGTTTATCGAACCAAAATAGTAAGCTCATTTTTGTGCATTTAGTAGTGCTTCATGTACGTTATTTTGCTTCATTCAAAGTACATCCAGATTAAAAATAAATGCTAGCGAGAGTGAAGTGAAACTTAAAAATTGGCTAATAGTTTCGCCTTAATACTTACACAGAAGTGAAACTATTTCATATTCGTATCTGATTCTTGCACACATCGAAGCTGATAGTTATCTTGTTCACAGTCAAAAAAGATTAGATTTACGCTGTTATTGCAACAAGCCTCAAAATTGTATGTTCCATTTTCGAACAATCGAACATTTTAACAACTTGTAAAAATTTTGAAAAGTTGAAAGAAATATAGTTTATTTTGTGGTTTTGATTATTGTGATTGTGTTGAGCACATTCTTAAAAAAACCATCCGTATTTAAATTTAAAACTTTATCACTAAAATGCGTATTAAAATTTTTGATTTCTTCTCCCTTATTTTTTTTAAACATCTTTATTAAAATGTCAACGTTTTAAGATTTGATGTCCAAAATAACTGTCCATTTAGAATCGAATTTTTACGATAGTTTCAAAACGAGTAAATATTACTAAGTTATAATTCGAATTCCGTTCCATAATCTTAAAGTTTTTTTTAAATTTAGTTGATGATAATTGAATGTGAGTAATCTTTCTTTTAAAGGTACAAAAGCGAATGATGGTAAGTCCAACTTCATGAAAGGTGTCAATTTTGTACCTGAATCCTTTGTCCACCAGGAGTGGAATTGTCCCAGCAGTTACGGATACTTCCGTCATACTAGGGATTGCAATAATTTTTACATCTGCATCAATGGGGTGAAGCATGAGCACAACTGCTCCAAGAACCTTCTTTTTAATCCAAGTCATAACACATGTGACTGGCCGAAACATGTAAAATGCCGTAAGTACACACTACATTTAATTAACTTATTTCTAACTTTATTTTAGTATCAATAGCAGGACCAGGAAAAAATTACTACTAACCATTTCTTTAACCAATTATACAACAGATGAAATATTTTGGTTACTGATCATAAATTATTAAAATGCTTAAATGCCATTATATATGTTGAAAATAGAAAGAATGCAAAAATGTTATGAAAAGTTAGGAAAAGATCAATATTGATATGTTTCCTAACTATACTAAATAATATGCAAAAGATTTATATGTTTTTTTATTGAAAATATCTTTGCTTGCATAATATTTTAATTAATATGAAAAGAACAAATATTACATTACAATTATGAAATATTCTAGAATATTTAAGTAAATTCCATTAATTTAGAAAAAAAGGTCGATTTTAACATCTAACCTCTGTAATATATTGCAAATTCTATACAACTTATACAATATTATATTCCAGAAAATATCTTTTTACATTAAAATTTATTCTAAAACTAAAGTATAACTCCTATAGAAAAAGTAAAATTTAACATTAGAAAGCAATTCCGACATTCCATTATTTCTAAAACCATTTGCTTTAAATATCCTGTTTTATACTCCATTTCACGAATTATTACTTTAATAAAACAAGACAAATTTGTCTTAAATGGAATCGTTCAAAAAAATATCTTTTTAAATGAAAAATTTTTTCAAAACGAAAATATATAACTCCCATGGAAATGGTAAAATTTAACATAAAAAACGATTCTGAAAATTTGGCACTTTCACTACAAGAAGATCATGGATACCCACACATGTGATCTATTACGTCAGAACCAGCTGATTGTTTATAAACAAAATGCCATGTTAAAGTTGAGCTAAGTTTCTCGACATTAATTATTGTGAAGTTTATTAAATAGAGCACCGTATCGCTCATCAAATTTGTTGAAACCTAATTCTTACTCGTCTACTTCTTTTACTTAGATTTACTTATCGTTTATGCTTTTTGTTGTGTAGCCGTGATAGATTTTGTTTTGTGAAACTGGCAACTTCGATGCATAATTAGCTTATGTTCTACATCGCTTCATGCTTTTTTTTGTGTTAAGTAAGCAATATATGTTAAAATAATTGAAATCTTTCTGAAAGAATAGAAAATGTGTCACGAGAATTGATACTTAACGAGCTAGGCTTACTCGAAATAGAATGGAAAAGTTGCTAACTTAAACAAATGCCACGTTTGAACAACCAATCCGCATTGAGATACCCACACTACGTCACTTGCAGGCATCCCATTCAGTATTTACAGAATCGTTTGCTTCAAATATCTTATTTTTCATACTCTATTTCATGCATTATTATTATATTAATAAAACATAACTACGAAGTTTTTATCTTAAATCTTAATTTGAAGTAATATATTAAACATTTGAACACTAATTTCAAAATGTTTGACAGAACATTTGGGTATTTTTCCATAGCTGATTTTAAAGCAAAATAAGCTAAACGAAGTACATAATATCCAATTCCCATATTTTTAACACTACTTATAAAACCAACTTTACCTTTTAGACTGTAGTCTTAAGAAGTATACATCCCAATTATGTGAAATACCTACCTTTGATGAATAAACAAGATTTGTATGTTATAAATTTTGCTTTTTAGATGATACACACAAGCATTCCCAGAGACGATGTCGAGTATTTGATCGCCATGTGGAATGTCTAGAAAATCGAACTAATCTAGCTAATCCTCATTGTGATATGTTCTATGACTGTTCTACGGGGAAGCCATGCTCCAGAAGATGTCCCAAAGGGCTTTACTTTAATGCTGTTTCTGGAATATGTGATGAACCACAAAATGTCAGATGCAACACTAGTAAGTAGAAATGTTTTCTTAATAATCCTGTTTTTTTTTGTTTATTTTCCTTAACCTACGAACTTATAAAAACAATGTTAACCAAAATTCTGAAAGCTTTAGTTTTTAATCACTAAAAATATTTGGCAAAAAAACGTGGCAGTGAATTAATGCCAGTGTTTTTCTGAGGGAATAAAAAGTTAGAGTATGATTTAGAAATTCGTGGTATAAGTATGAAAATAGTATATATATTTTTTAATAATTAAAAAAAAACTTTTTTGTTTAGGTGATGGAGATTCGTATAGCTTGAAAGATTTTGCAGGAACCTGCAAACATAAGAGAAGGGGTCACATGAAAGATCCTGCAAACAGAAGCTGTTACTATCGCTGTGATCACGATAAAGTAGTCAGAAGTTGCTGCTCCAGAAGTCGTGTATTCGATGAAAGGCGGAATAAATGCATATGGCAGTACAAATATTATTGAATTTGAGGTAAGCTGAGCAATTTTCTGATGGGGTTCGAATATTTCAGGTAAATTATTACAGGATAAAAAAAATAGCCAATCTAACGTTGAAGTAATTAATATTAAAATTTCTATTCTAAATTTTTCATAACTCCTTTTTTTCAAAAAAAAAAATAATAAATAAATGAAATCAAACAAATTAAAACTCCAAGAAGGAAAAAGCATGGAAAAAGGTATAAATTTGAAAAAAAATATGCCTGTATGAAAACTATCTTGCTAAAATTCTTAGTAATAAAAGCATTTAAAAATTCAAATTTTTAATAAGAACGTATAAGATTTAAGATCACATTTTCCATTATTTTATAAGATCACATTTTCTGTAAGAAATATGTTAAAAATAGCTTAAAAATTTTTAATTCTTGTAAAATTTTTAAAATTTAACAAGACATCCCAAAATAGTGGTGTATAGTAACTTGTAAATCAAAATGTGACTTAGTCGGTCATATTTCAGAAAGCATTGTTTCTCACATGATAGTGCTCTTTTCCTTAAAAAATAATAATAATAATAATAATTCAGCACAGTAAGTTAGATATTTATGATTCAAATGGACATACATCAGTAGTTAGAAATATATTTCAAAATTCTCAAGTAATTCAAACACATTTCGTTTTCTATATGCGAATATAGAATTTTCTTTAATATTTGGAAATCAAGATTACACGGACAATATCATGGAAACACTTCTAAGCTAACTAATCTTTTCATGCCCATTTTATTTAAGCTAGGTTTACGAAATTTTTTGCAGTTATTGCATTGGTTTGATAACCAAAGTAAATTATATAAATAGAAGTTCGCAATACTTTTTGGAACAGGGTGTCCAAAATCTTTTTTTTCCGATTGTAATTTATTACCAGTCATTCAAATCTCTGAAGGCTTTTAACTTAATTGATGTGTATGAGAAATCACATGATTTAAACGCTTCTAAAATAATAAAGTTTTAAGAAATAAAATTAAAAACTTCTTGAAAAATATGAAAGAATGAGTTAGTACAGAATAAGTGTTTCCGTAATTTTCCCTAATAATTTGATATTAATCTTTTCTTTATTTATTTTGTTATTTTTTATTTATAAAAGTTTTAATTTAGCATTATTTAAGAATCGCAATAGTATAATCAATGAAAATTACAGATTCAATTTGATTGTCAGTTCAAGATCAATAAAGCTTTAAAAAACAAAATGAAGTACTTCTTGAAAAATATGAAAGAATGAGTTAGTATAGAATAAGTGTTTCCGTAATTCTCTCTAATAATTTGATATTAATCTTTTCTTCCTTTATTTTGTTATTTTTTATTTCTAAAAGTTTTAATTTAGCATTATTTAAGAATCGCAATAGTATAATCACTGAAAATTACAGATCCAAACACAAAATGTAGTAAAGTGAGTAGCGAATTCTCATGTACTTCCACTTACCGCAGTGTTTCAAAAAGGATTTAAAATATTTTCGTGACAAGTTTGCCAGATTACAAAATATGAAAATGGAAGCGTAAATAGAGGATGATAGGATCATTTTATGGCGGATTCTTACTGAAGTACTAAAGCGCGTTTGATTTATTTTACTTACCTCAGATTGGCTTGAAACTGGATATGTGCAAGATGATATCCTGGATAATTTAAAGTTTATAATTAATAAAGTTTAATTTAAATTATAAAATTTTAATATTGATTTTATAAATATTATAAAAATGTAGAGTTTTTTCATTTTAATAAATCTTTATTAAATACTAGAATAATTTTAGCCAAGGATTTGAACATGGTAAAAAAGTAAATTTAGTCAACAAAGAAAATTTAAATAAATTTATTAATAATTATAACAATTCAATTAACTCAATGATTTTATATAGAATTTAATTACATTAATTGGATATCCATTGTGTATATAGATATACACCGAAGAGCCATTACATTATGACCACCTTTAGCCCTCAAAACTGCTAGCACCCGCAGTGGCATTGATTCCACAAGGTGCTGATAGGTAGTCTGAGGTATCTGGTACCAAGCGCTCACCAACTGGTCCTGCAATTCCCTCACATTGCGAGGGGGTAGCGTGGCAGCA